CAGCCCATTCATGGCCGGGCCCGAGCGGAGGACGATGCCGACTCCTTCCCTCCAATGCTCTCCGCTCGGGTTGCCGCCCTCGGGGCCCGCACCCCGGGGCCCCACCAGCGAGCCTCTTCTGCATATATCTTTATGAATAAATGTTTTCAAGTTTTTTGGGTAAAAACCCAAAAGAGCGGCTACACGATCATATGGTAACTCTATTTTTTAATTTTTAAGGGAGCTTCTGTGCAGTTTTTCATAGTGGCTGTACCAGTGTGCCTTTCCAGCAGCAGTGAACGAGGGCTCCTTTTTCTCCACAACTTCTCTGACACTTGTTGTTACTTGTCTTATTGATAATAGCAATTCTAACAGGTGTCAAGTGGTATCTCATTGTAGTTTTGATTTGCATTTGTATGCCTGCTTAGGAGATGTGTCTGTTCAAGTCCCCTGTCTATTTTATTTTTTTTAACTGTATGAACATGTTTTTATTTCTCTTGGATAATTAGCCCAGAGTTGGATTTGTAGGTCATACTATTAGTAAGTGTATGTTTTAACTTTATGGTAAGCTGCCAATGTTTTCCAAAGTGCTTGTACCATTATTATCCTCATTTTACAGATGAGGAAATTAAGGCACTGAAGAATTAAAATAAAATTGGTATATTGATCAAGATTCCGTGAGTACATGCAGCTGTACCAATTCAGTATGTGTATACATTAAAATTAGGTTTTGAAACAGTTTATAGGAGAATATTTACATAAAACTGATGTTATAAAATTTAGAACAAAATTTGTTATATTGAATTTAAAGTTATTATATTTGATGCAAGGAATAAACTAAGTAAACTTTTTTGGTGTTGAAGTAGAAATGTTAATTTGGCGCCTTTTATTTGTTTTTTTATTACAGTTTTTTTATAAGTTTTAATGGTTAATTTGTGAAGAAGTGAATTAAAAAATATATTAGTAAGGTATAAATGTGTCTCAAATCACAAGTTTGTCATAGTCATGCATGCTCCATTTGATTAGTCCAATCTTTACTTTGACTAGTTGTGAAACAGAAAAGAGAAAATTCAAATGGGTAAGTAACCAAAAACAGTAGAAAAATCAATTCAAAAGTATTTAGTTGTGATAAATGATCACAGTCATTTTGTCCACAAAGGGAATCATTATTTGTTATAAAAATAAATTAAAACCACTGTATATTCTAGGTAGAATTTGGTCATTTTTAAAAGCTCCATATATTCTAACGAACATTTAAAATCTTCACCTGAAATGTCTTCTTAGCCCTCCTTTTAACTGCCAAAATTGTTTTTCTTCTCATTTTTAAAGGATTGCTTGATGGTAGGTCTACATACTTGTGGTGATCTTGCTCCAAATACTCTACGAATATTTACTTCCAATTCTGAAATCAAGGGAGTTTGCAGTGTGGGTTGTTGCTACCACCTTTTATCTGAAGAATTTGAAAACACACATAAAGGTACAAAGTTCTCCATATCTTATACTTTCATTTATTTCAGCACAATTGCTGCTTTCTAACTCTCTATCTTTTTTGTTGATATTGTTGTCATTTTGAATTAATACTTAAAATAATATCTGATATTCTTGCAATTTTAATATTATTATATCAATTGAAACTTGATGCACTATCACCTTATGCATTTTGTTATACTTCCTTTGCTCATTAAATGGTCTTAGTGTATGCTGAAAACTGCAAATATTTGAAATTTTAATGTGGTATATATTTTACAGAACTTCTATTTAAAACTACTTGTGAGATATACATTTACTAAAATAGTAAAACTAAATTATTTTGTCATGAATATAGAGTTGCAAGGTTTGCTTTCATTTTCAAAACCTTTTCAGTTTTGTGAGGAATATTGATTATTTCTCAAAAAATTTTTCTTACTGTATTTTTAAGAATTAACATATTATGATTTTAAAAGCTGCAAAACTATGCAATGGCATTAAAATAATGGTATTCAAACTGTGCTCCCTGGGCTGAGATGCTGCCTGATGAGCAAAGTACATAGCAGGGTTTAAAGCACCACATAGACCTTCATCCATAGCAGCTCTTTTTATATGTTATATCTCTTAATAAATTATGGTTTCAAAACTGCTGGTTCAGATCAGATGTTTATTTAGTTTATTAATATTAGCAGTTTTCTTTTCTATTAGTTTAATGAAGCCTTTATCAACATCAGTGTCCCTTGCTAAGAATTCTTAAGCTAGGAAGTTGTGTGCATATGGATGGTATTGTTTCTTCTTTTCTCAGTTTTAAAATCCAAATGAATAGGAAATTTCTACTTTATTTAGTTGTGTATAAGAGGTAAAAATTATCATTATATAATTCTACTGAAATTTGACTGGGTGAGACAGAGGTCATCCATTAGACCTGGCAAAGGTTTTTGATTTTTTATGTCAGAGTTTTTTAAAGTATCTTTTATGAAAGGTGTATAGAAGAAAAAAACTGAATATATAGAGATATATCAATTGAGAGAGAAAAAATTGGCAAAAAGTTAACAATAGTTTAATTTAGATGGAGTATATATGTTTTTCTTGCCATTCTTCTAATTTTATTCAGAGTACAAAAATCTTCAAGATAAAAATTTGGAGAAAATAGTGAACCTAAAAAAAGAAAAAATATATAGTTATAATAAAATATTTACCCAAATATCTATGCTATATTACAATCTTTTTGTGCATCTTTTCTAAAAGAAAGAAAAAAACTCTTTAATACAATCAGAATTTTACAGCTTTTAAAATATTAAGTGTATAGTGTTTTCCTGGACCAACAATAGCATAAGATTCTATGAAAGGGAGGTATGGTTCTTAGTTCAAAAATTTCCTCTTCTGTAGGTGCAATGAAATGAGTTTTTAAAAATTTATTTTTATTGAAAGTATTTCAGATGTACCATTCCCCCCATCCCCCCTCACCCCGTTGACCCTCTCCACTCCCCCACCCCCTCCCCAGGTCTTCACTGCGCCATTGTCTGTGTCCATGGGTTATGCATATATGCACATCAATTCTCTGGTTAATCTCTTCGCACCCACTGCCTTCCCTCTGAAATATGTCAGTCTGTTCCATGCTTCAATGTTTCTGGTTCTGTTTTGTTCATCAGTTTATTTTGTTTGTTAGATTCCACATATAAGTGGGGTCATGTGATACTTATTTTTCTCTGTCTGGCTTATTTCACTTAGCATAATATTCTCCAGGTCACACCGTGCTGTCTCAAAGGGTAAGAGTCTCTTCTTTTTTATAGCTGCATAGTATTCCGTTATGTATATGTACCACAGTTTTCTTTTTAATCCATTCATCTACTGATGGGCATGCGGCCTGTTTCTACATCTTAGCTATAGTAAATGACACCGCTAGGGGTTTCTTTAATAATAAGCTCTATTGGGAGTGGGTGTAGACAGTTGGTGTGTCTTTCAATTCAGAGGTATTGTCCTTCAGTATATTAACCTCAGCTGCCTGCTTCCTCCTTTCCTCTTTATCATCATGCTCCCAAAGGTACCTTCACCTTCCAAAGGCCTCCTCTCTTCTTTATGCAGTACCTTCCTAAGACTATCATCTCTGATCCTGTTGGACCCTTGAGGCCATTGCACTGCATCTTCAGGTCACAGATCCACTTTCAGCATTTCCCACCATTTTGAACAAGTGACTAGGAATAGGGAAAAAAAATGACTGTTGGTACACTGGCAGCTGCATTTTATACTAGTAGAAGATAAGAGCCAAAGCCGGTTTGGCTCAGTGGATAGAAAGCACTGTGCTTGGCACTTTATCTATATATATATATAAGGCTAATATGCTAAGTGTCTGACCAGCTGCTATGATGCGCACTGACCACCTGGCCTGTGCCCTCTAGCAATCCGGGACCCCTTAGGGGATGTCAGAGAGCTGCAGGCCAGGCCGAGGGACCCCACCAGTACACGAATCCGTGCACCGAGCTGTCATGTGTGTTTCCTTCCACGTCCTGCGTGGATCAGGGTTTGGGATCTGAAAAGAGGAGCCACACACAAATGAGAGAGAAAAGACACATGATAATTTTTAAATATTGGGGGACCAGGCGGGCAAGTCCAGAAGGACTTCCACGGCTGCTGCCCAAAAGTGGAGGATCCAGGCAAAATGTGGGACATAGCCCTCGCCCTTTCATTTCTCCCATGTCTTGAGACTTACAGGCCCAATCATGGGTCGGTTTGCATTTCTACTTCACCTTCTGCTGCGAGAGGCCCGAACTGGGTGGTGCACAGCCCTGACCTTTGCTAGGACTTCAAAGGTTACTAACTTTTGGGGGCCTCTGTCTATACTCAGTTAGTGAAGACAATAAATGGACTCCGGCACTGAGCCTCTAATGTAATAACAAATAATAATACAAGAATAAACTGTGTTTTACGAACTCACAACTGTAAACCTATTTTTGCCCACCCCTCTATACTATATAGTACTAGTATTCCTTACTAAAATAGAAATCCACCACTATACAGTTTGATCATTATATTTTAACTAACTTACAAGGCCAGATGTTTGTATGCACACGTTAGCATATTTCCTGTCATATATCCAGCACTAGGTGCCATGGAGTTATATCTCTGAGTGATCAAGTATGTCATGTGTCTCTCCCTTCACATCTTACACACCTAACCCTCACCCTCACTTTGTTTGCACAGCTGTTTTGGAGTTTGAATTGGGGCAGTGTTGCCCTTTGGGATGTAAATTTGAGTTATTAATAGTCCAACATAGTATACTAGAAAAGTCTGGTATGTATACTGCAACTTTTTATGATGATATGTACTATGTAAACATTATGTGTTTTACATGAATATGTTTACCCAATACACTGTGGTAGACCATAGAGGTGGTCTTTCATGAATGTCAATTTTCAAAAGTACCTCAAAGCTCTCTGAGCCACTATGAATACCAAAGTTAGACCATATGTTTTAAAAACTGCCTTTAAATATTTATATATTATGGGCCAGTAGTTCCTAGGAGAACAAGAAATACCAGAAACAGTTTTATTGCAGTGCTTTATAGAATATATATATTTGTTTAAGCTTGACATGTTTCATTATTTTGTCTTAATATTGATTATCATAATTAATTCTTCAATACTTATTTCTTCCCCTAGAAGTCGGAGAGAGAATTTCTTTTGGTGGTTTTTCCCAGAAAGGTAGAAACATGCTGTAGGAAACACGACTGGCTACCTGTCCAGATCCACATACCTCTTCCTCCTCACTAACTGATTTTGTTCAGGCGGAGGTTATTGGGAAAACTGAGCCCTTCTGTAGCCTCACAAGCTGGTGAATCTGAATCTAAATTATTACTGTAATTCCATGTGTATAGTAATGGATAAGAGACACAGTTCTCAACAGTGAGGTGTGAGGAGCATGTCTTCTAGGAGGTTTCTTGGAATGTTTGTTTGTTGTTCTTAAAACTGAACAGAGGACAAGAACATCACTTTCCTTCTCCGCCTCTGGACTTGGTCATCCATCTGTGTTTGTTCAGCCTACCATGTATTCTGTCAGAAATTGGTATTAGTGCTCCGAGTCCTGCAAGCCCAGTCTGAGGGGTGAAAGATAATTTTACTTTTCCTGGAAGTTTACCTGATCATCTCAGAGGCTTAGGAATGCAGGAGAGGAAAGAAAGAGCTCGGACCCCATATAGTCACACCAGCTGGTATCACGGAGCTTCTTCCTTGGCCTTAATAGGAGCCCCTTCTAGGAGCAAACATTGTCATGGAATAGATTTGTGCTTTGTCTTTCCCCAGGAAGCCTTCTAGTATTATTAGTGCCTTCCAGAAAACTGCAGAACATTAGAGTCAAATATAAATGGTGTAACCTCTGAAAGCCTTTAGTCTACTTTCATGTTTGTTCCCAGCTTTAATGTGTTACAGGACATGAATGTGATTCTCCCAGAGATCCCTCCATTTACTTTATTTTTTTTTTTTAATCAGGGGAGGGCTGCAGATCATCTTTCAATGGCACCTTTCAATCTGGTCCTGCTGTTTTTATATCAAACACATTTGTCAAGGACATATGATATCTATTCTATTGTAGATTGTACCTCAATTTATATTACCAGTAGGAATTTACTGGAGGAGACTAGATATGTATATAGTCGCTGACTTTGTGGATTAACAGTTGGTTTCATCACTGTAAATGTAGAAGCTCTTCATCTGGAAATGTGTCTGGAGGTTGAATAAAAATATGTTGAGCACTAGAGGCCCAATGCACGAAATTCGTGCAAGGGCCTTGGCCCCAACCCCTGCCCACCGCCGCTGCTGCCACGGCCAGGGGGCCTCTGCCGTCTCTGCCTTGGCCCCTACCCACTGCGGCTTTGTCCAGAAGGAAGGACATTCAGTCTAATTAGCATATTATGCTTTTATATTTATAGATATTATTTGAAAATTTAAAATATCCTATATAATAAAAACCTAATATGCAAATTGACTGAATGGTGGAACGACCAGTGGAACAACC